TGAACCGATCTGTGAAAGGGAGAGTCACTTCCCTTCATCATCAGAAAGTAAAAGGAAAGTTGATCTATAATTTAGTTGAATTTCCAAAGGAAGAGGAGGTGAAAGCTTGAAAGTACTGGAGACAGAAATGATGGCAACAGCCACCATTCTGCTATCTTTTGAGGCCATCCAGGGGTGGTCTTGTTCCCAGGGCCTCACGCTGACTCGAGCTGCATCCCCAGTAATTTTCCTCCCCAATTCTTCCTAGCTGGTTATACAGCATACGTGTTTTCAAGCTTACCATCCTTAGACTTTGCCAACCAGGACTGAAAGGTCCCAGCCATAACCATTCCATAACCCCATCCAAGCTGCTTTTTGGCCCAGTTCCTTTCTGCAATTGGGAGCCACAGGAGAGCGAGCAAAGTGGTTATCTAGTTTGCTATTTAATCTAATGGAGTCACTTTAAAAATAACTGGAAAGGCAGCTTTGGGCTTCTACACTCCGATTAGCATATTAAATCTTGCCAGAGGGCCTCATTATGAGGCAGGACAACCATACAGGTTTCCATGACCAGGTCGCAAGACTAGGACCTGATGAGGCCGCTACACACAGTGTAAATGATAGCATAATTACTCGAGCTCCCTCAAAAATAGTGGACAATGTAGCTATTGGGTCATCGGAAAGTCATGACATATTTTTCTGTGTTTTTCTATGCAGAAATGCATAGAAAATGACTTTGATGATCCAATAGATGGCTGGCTTCCTGGCCGAATTCCTATTCAATCCACAGTGATTAGATGATGGCTATGTCTAGATACAGTTGTTCAAAATGTCACCTCCTCTGTGTGAAGCCTTTCCTAAATCACCAAAGGGAAATTAGTCACTCTGTCTTCTGGCTCTCAAAACCATGTGTGTGTCCAATTATAGAGCTTCCCAAAGTACACTGTAAGTCCCTCTTTCACATATAAAGTCCTAAAGGGAAAAGATCTATTCCATTTCTCTTGGTGTTCCTAGCATCAAATGCAAACAAAGTACTCACTAAATATTTGCTTAGACACAGAGAAAAAGAGAAAGAGGGAAAGAATTCATGGTTTAGGTAGTTATTTTAATGGCCAGTCTCTGGACCATGAATTGAATCACTCATGCCCTTTATATGATTTCTTTAAAACTTAGAATTTGCTTTAAATGAGTAACATCACTGTATTTTTCTGTTGTACAAAGAACACTGAAATGTTATTTTGAGCACCCCAAGGAGTCCTATAGCCAGCCTCCAATTATTCAACGAACCAGCACCAACGTGTGTGAACAAATCACAGTAACAATAATACTTACCACACTTACTCTGTTCTAGGCACCTAGTAACTCTACATGTGTTACTCTTATTTAGTCCATCCACCATCCTATGAGGTACAGTCTATAGTTATCTCTATTTGTACCTCAGGAACTACAGCTCAAAGTCAAACAGCAAATAAGAGGCAGAATTGGGATTGAAATTGGAAACCTTTGACTCAAGAATCTCTACTTATAACTACTACATTATACTGCCTGCATTAACACCTTGTGCGTTTGCAAAATTCACGTTTTAGCCTCTTCTGAGTTGTTCTCTGGCTTTTTTATAACTGAACAGGGATGTGTTCTCCCAGTCTAAAAAAAAAGACAAAATAATGGACAATATAATGTTAATAGTTCTAAACCCACTCATCAGCAGATTTATCCCCCTGACAGTCAAGGTAGGTTAATTTATCTCTCGATGCACACATCATCATATGAAAACAGCCAACGGGAAAGATGAGAGATCAGTTTCCCCCGGGAAAGGCCATGGAAACAGCAAATCATCCTTAACTAAGATGTCATGTGCTCTTACGCCCAACTTAACAAATGTTTAGTGAGCACCTCCTATGTGACCCACACTGTGTTGAGGATCAGAGATACTAATGACAAATTAAATATATATAACTGGGTGGGGCAAACACTTTGGTAAATAAGAAATTATAATAAAATTACAAATGAAAATCAGTCTTCCTTATTGGAATATAAGCTCCATAACCCATAACAGTGCCAGGCATATATCAATGATCTATTATATGAATAAGTGAAAGCAATATGGGATGATAAAACCTCTAATAGGACAGAGGGTGACACTACAAGGACACAGAGAAGGAGTACTATCCCAGAAAGAGGGAAGAGAGAAAGCTTTCAAGAAGAAGTAATATGCAGGCTGACACCTGATGATTAAGCAGGCATTAGCCAGAAGAAAAGAGGTGGGGAGAGAAAAGGGTGTTCTCATTGATAATACACAGTCTACAGTACTGCACGAGAATGTGAAATGGGGAAACTAAAATTCGGAATGAATGCATTACTAATGCTAATGTTGTGATCAGACTGACAGGGAAAAGAGAAGGCACCCATGTGTTTAAGACAAAAAATATAATAGCTGCCCTCTCTACTTCTGTAGGCCAAGCTTACTCTGTCTTAGCTGCCTCCCCTTTCTTTCTCACTTCCCCACTCCCCTGCTGAATTTGCTTTCACCTTCCAAATAAACTTCTTATTCTCAAATGCTTGTCTCAGGCTCTGCTTCTGAGGGAACCCAAACCAGGACACTTGGTTAGTCCATGTTTGTGGCGAACTATGGCATGGCAGAGGAAAGTGGAGAAGGCTGGTTATGTCACAATGGGGAGAGAGGGCACTGTAGGCAACTCTCTGCAATTTCACACACTTCCTGGAGCTGGCCACAGTTCCAATGCCTGCCAAGGTGAAGTAATTCTAATGGGCAACTCCTATTATTGATCATGATACACTCTGAGGAGAATGCTAGAATCTAGGCAGAGCAGCCAAATGGTGGAGTAGACTGAGAAAATGACAACATGTGCAGATCTGTGTGGTGGGAGGTACTTAAGGTATCTATTTGTTTGTGGCCCCTGAGACCTCAATGTCCAATAGTACCAAAGTGGGGAAGCTCAGAAGGGCTTGCCTCCAGCTCTGGCAACTCTCAGGTAGCCTTCTGGCCCAAGGGCCAGTGATAAGTAATCACACCCAATCGCCACCTCCTAACATCTAGTAGCCTCCAAACTTAAGAGTACTTGCCTCACAGCAGATGCACAGAGATCTGCTGGGGAGCAGAAAACAAAACATTAGAACTCATATTTCCTTTTTAAAATCTAGTTTCTTATTCTTATTAACTTTTTTATTTCCTTATATATATGTTTGATCATGTACAAAATATATGAGTTCAGTACTAGTTGTTCTAGATTAAGCTATATCAAGGGTCTATTCTCAAAAATATGGTATTGCGGGACCAGCAGTTAGCGTAATGGCTACATCACTGAACTCCCATGTGGTCGACCACGGTACGAGCTCTGGACCCGGTGGCTTAGATTCACGCTGGGCGTGTGTGTACATGCCCAAAATCCCAAGAGGAGAATGGAGGAGAAGGGATTGCAGCATGGTCATCCCCCCTGGGGGGTGATTTCTTGCTTTCTGTCTCTCTGTCTGGCGCGTGCACGCGCCCTATAGCAAAAACCTCTACAAAAAAAAAAAAAAAGGTATTGCAAGGGGTTTATGATCAAAAAAATTTACAG